TTGCATTTGAATTTGAATTAGAATTGTTTTTGTTTGAGCGAAAGGTGGCATCCAACTTGCGCGTGTGCAATCCTTTGTTTTGTCATCTTTAATATTTTTGTTGATTGTCTAGGGGGCAATCTTAACTACAATGATTGCAAAGACTAACTTTCACGCAGGTATAGATATTAAAAACACAACGGATTGGCGGTTCTGATGACGTCGTCTACTTATGCGGAGCATACACGCGATATTCGTATTATTTATTGCGGCATTGAGCAGTTTCTTTAAAGGTAGTGAATTTGAGAATAAAATGTGTCGAGTGTATGATCAATATAACGTGTAAGGTAATGTTCACTACGATCCATGGTAAAGTCTCAATAATACGTGGTCAGCTCTTGACAATTAATCTGTTTCTTGTAGGCTAATCACTGAAATTCCGACGTCTACATTTGAACTTAATACGTGAACGTTTAATCGCGACGTCATCAGAGCAGCCATCCACTCAATGCAATGCATTCATTGTTCCATTCTTATCCCTTTTAGGGAGCTATACTAACAACCATAGTGGCTCGTAGGTTCTCGTCTAACTCAGGTGACTAACCTTATTTAAAAACTCAAATATATCCTAAATGAATTTATAATCAATTAAATTTAATATATATTCTTATAACTGTGTTAATTTATTACGCTTTTGAGTCTCTTTAATGAACATATATATATATAATCTGCGTTAATTTATTTAATTAATTGATGCTACAATTTCGTTATGATTTTTGATTATTTCATAATTATTATTATGAAACGGATATAATTTGTAATGATAAATGAAATATTTAACTTCAAATCAATCAAAAAATTTTATAAACATTTGGATTTAATTTTTGAATTCAATTTCTGTTGATTATTAAATATTTGAAATCAAAAGGCAAACAATATTAACTAAATTTTTCTAACTACTAATGAAGTTCTGTTTCAATCTGACGTGTGCTAACTAATGTGTAAAATGTATAACCAACATGCATACATAACGCCATTCTTACATTTCATTTCACGCAATGATGCAGTTTAGGCGCTTTATTTGTGATTACTTAACTTCTTACTTAGTGTGAATTATAACTGTCGTAATTTGGGTTCTTTGTGATAGAAGAGTTGGCCGATTCGTGTTATCCATTTTTTCCTCTTTGCGAATCATTCAAATGAAACCCAGCTTTTATCGTTGAAGTCGTTATAGTTCACACTAAATAATTGCACTTTGGAGGTGCTAAAAGCCATAGTCACTAGACATATGGTAAAGTATTCCATTCGTGTTGACATGGTGTTGTCAGTATGTCAAATTCCCATAAAGTTTGACTCAACTGCATGACCTTCTGAGAATTGTTTAATACAACTGGAAGTACATCTTGTCGACAGGATGCGAGTTTTATATGTGTGTACGTAAAGTTGTTTCTATTCTACATTCCACTAATTTAAGGCATATGTTTTTTAGTTCGTGCCCAATCCTCATCTTCTAAGAAAAAGGTATGGAAAACGATGACTTGTCTAAACACCTTAGCAGTACTAGCCTTTCTTCTCTCGTGAAATCAAGCAAATTAGAATTATATGAACCAATCAACTAGCAGTGGTATTGTCAATTAGATTTTAAAGCATTAGGAAATTTCAATCAAAAAGTGTATATTTTCTTTTGGAAGAAAAACTTAAGCTTAACCCAGAGTGCTGCTGTTCTAGAGTAGATCATGCATTGCTCCCTCTGCTCACTATTTCCAAGTGGAATTATAAACGGTCCATATATGGCATCCATATACACTATTTCTAAAGTAAAAATTCAAAATTCATGTCTCCATTGTTTCAAGCCTATACATCGTTACGAGTTTTAGCATAAACGTCTTGCAATATGCCCTTCAATGCTAAATTATATCTTTCTGCACAGAGTTCTGACGAAGAAGCTGTCTTACTGGAAGATGGAGATGCCTCGAAGCGAGATATAGAACAAGATATTATAAAGCTGACTCAAAAAATGCTCACGAGCATCACAACTGGCGATTTTGAAGCTTATAGGTAAGACTATGTTGATGCACAGTTGGTTTGGAGACTAAATATAAAAGTACAATACAACTCATTAACTATGTTATTGTCCAGGTTTATATAAAAAAAGGTTCCTTTCTCGTCACGTGTCTATTGCATTTTAGCCAAACTTACTGATGGAATTCGTCTTATTAATCTCCCCAACCTTGACTTGAAAAATATGTTATTCCTATTGGCTTATATGTTCAAAATACAATAGACATGTGACGAGAAAGGAACAATTTTTTGCATAAATCTACCTTAACATAGTTAATGAGTTGTATTGTAGTTTTAGGTGGTCTCCAAACTATGTATATTATTAACTGTGGTTGATGTAGGTATCATGAACATTGAACCCTTACACTTTTTTGGGAGAGGGGAACGTCAATTTGTTTTTAAGCAACACTAAATTATCACTGTTAAATATGTATCGTTTTTTTGTAGTAAATTATGCGACTTCTCAATGACATGTTTCGAGCCAGAAACGAAAGGAAATCTTGTTCAAGGGTTAGAGTTTCATAAATTTTACATGGAAAATGGTAGGTTGAAAGTGGACGATGCATGCTAGATTTTATGATAGATGAACTTTGTTTTAGTTTAATCCATAGAGTTTCCAATACTTCCTTCGTCGTTTTATGGTTCGGGGTTTTCGTTATCCGGCGAAAATGACAGTTCGATGAGATCGATTGTCATCCTCATGCAATGACAACTAAGTCACCTGTTATACAATGTGACGTAGGTTTCTGACATCGCGAGAGCAGAAAAGCGGGATGCTTTCGCAATGCTTTGTGTTTAGAGGCCGATTGTAAATGAAGGTAGTTCACTTCTATCCATAGTTAGTAACAGCTACGATTTAACTTCCCAAATTATAATTTGTAATTTGTTTATCCGTCCCCACTTTGTTACCTTAAACTAGCACGTAGGAAGTAGGTACCACCTCCTCCCCCCCCCCCCGCTCTCAAATAGAAGCTATAAAAATGCCGCAGAGGAAGTGTCTTTTTTACTAGCTGAAAGTGGCGGGTATAAAGGTCCGAGGCAACTTTTTTCCTCAATGTTTTTTTCCTCAATGTTTTTTTCCTGTCATTTTCTAGTGTTTTCCAAGAGAACAACACCAATCAACACAACACTTCTCACTCCCTTTGTTCACGTTTTAAGTGAAGACTCGGCAGCGATATGTTATGTGAGATTGACACAATATCTTGACAGGTACCATGACGAACGCTTTGTTTTCCCAGCAATAATATCTCGCTTTACATGAATATTTTGAAAACTTTCAGTATTATTATGATAATCACGAATACTTTAAGGCTAAATATGAATAACCGTAAATATTTTTACGCCAATACGCAATAGGCTCAAAAATATATTTGAAAACCATATTCACTGTTGCCAGCGACCGTCGCTCGTGTGTGCCAGTTCATTCAACCTGAAGCATTGCTTTTTGAATTTGTTTTTTTAGCTCGGGTATGCCATTCACGTTGCAGTCCGAGGAGACGCGTGTTTGGCAGAAGAAATCTGGGCACTGGTTATGCGTACACTTCCATCGCTCGTCCCAGTCTTCATGAATACGCCATCACCCCTTGATCACGTGCACGCCTGTGTAGTGCTGACGTCTAATTTTCCACTTCCGGCCGTAAATCAATATTGAGCATTCTTGGTACATATATGGCTTCGAGTTTATATTTCATGTAGACATTAATTTTAGCATGGACGATACTATTTTAACCAGCGGACGTAGTGAATATTAATCAAGCAACATGAATTATTCATTTGCAGTCAGTGATGGAAATTTAGTGATTCAAATGCTTGTGTAGTATATAATGTAGATATTCTAGTTTTATGGAGGAGCAATTGCCCGTTGCTTTGAAGAAGCGATGGGATATGAAGCTTAATTTAAAGTTTGAGTTTGCTATTTGCAGACAATTAATGAACAATTGAGCTAAATTCTCCAAAGATTTTATAGTTAACCCGATCTGTCTCTGAAGAAAAAGGTTCAGGCCGCACTAAGGCATTCGTGACTTTTAAGTTTGAACAATAAAATGAAAGCAATTTTAAATTAGTTGGACGGCCTTCAAAAGGCCTTAATTTCATTTTCCAACAATAATTGGTAAACGTTTCAATAACATCGGAAAGTATGTGCACTCCTTTTGCTCCTAGCTGCTAGCGAATGAATTTTCTGAGACCCTTCTCGCTTTGTTGGCTTTAAAAATGACAACTTGAGAGCTTGACAACTTTACTGATTGTAGTTAAATTACCGAATTCCTATTTATGCTTGTCTTAAGAAAAGGGTAAATTAAGCGGCAGTAACGAGTATATATATGCGGTTTGGTCATACAAATGATACAATGCGGGGTTCTGTAGACTTTCATTAGGGGCCAAGGGATATTTATTAAAACTCTCTTGAAATATAACTGAATTAGTTTGGGTGAAAAGTCATAGTCGAGTTAATATTTTTTGACTTGGTAAGTAAGGAGTTTGTGAATCATTCCTGCCCCACCCCAATTATAAGAACAGAAAATGGTGTATGCTTTGAGCTATTTATTCTATTTATTTTTTGCTTCATTTAAATAATAAATATAATGTTAAAATTTCCTGTATCAACATGAATTTTAGTAATTGAATAAAATGTGTATCGCTGATAAGGGAAGTTGTTTCATTCACTTCATAAAATGTATATACAGAAAGTATATTGTCATTGAGACAGCCTAGGATCCTTGCAAGAAAATGAAATTGCGTTTTCCTCATTCAAGTAATCTAGTAAGAAGTCGACTTAAATACATAATCCACTCAAATATTCACAAAATACTTTCATTGTCAATCTGAATTTTGCCATGGTGGTCTCCCATAGACTAATGCTTTTGAAAATGTTCGAAGAAATCAAAATCTAATTCCTCTAAAAAGTTGCAGAGTATTGTAATTGTTTTTTATAATGCTTCTCCTTGGTTTCGTATTCTCTTTCAGTCCATAGGTCTTATTGTTTTTCCTGCTGCTTGCATTTTTTTCTTAAGTACTCTGTACTCTTTAGCGGTTAACTGCTTTCTCCCTTTTTCCTGCAATCAAAAGAACCCCACGTTACTATATATGCGAGCAAACTAATGCTATAGACCGTCGTATTCGAAAAAGAACAAGAGCGAAAACGAGGCTAGTCAGGTTTTCTTTTGCCAAAATTAGTCCAAAATTATTTGTTTATTTCTAGATTATGATTGAAAGAAACATCGTTTTTGCAGCTTCTGACTGGTCCAACGGAAATTCCGAAAATGAAAATCTAACTAGCCTCGCTTTTGTTCACCTCTTCACAGGCATCTTGCTCTTTTTCGAATACGTCTATTCGTTGAGAATGTCTGCATGACACGGGAGTCACAGGGGTCTATATATAGGGCCTGAGATCACCCGCGTCTACGATCATATGTATATATATAACTTTGCGAAAGCCAAATTGAGATAAAATTGTATTAAAAATATCTCGTTACGGTTTACCTGTCCTTGGCCTTCATTTCTTGCTTTTGCAGCTGCTTTCTTGGTTCTGTAGTAAGAAACGTGTGACATTGCGTAGAAATAATTGGAAAATAAAGACAAGATGTGTCTATATGTCAAATTGGACGTAATAACAAAGGTCGTCCTGACTTCAAATACAAAATTCTCACCGTATAGCGTCAGTGTCGTCGACCCCAGTTAGATCATGTTTTTTCACCCCCTCAGAGATATTTCCCAGCAACTTTGCTGACGCTATCTCCATTGCAACATTAGCAGTTTTCTTCAAAGCTGCTGCTATAGAGTTTGAGCGCTCGTGAGATTGCGGGGCTGATGCACCAGCTGACACATTTTTTGCCAATCCCCCCAAAGTCGTCCCAAACTTGGCGGCTCTGACAAATTTCGACACGGGTGTTTTTGGTTGCATCTCAAACCTGCCTTTGTTGCCAGAGGTTTTCTTCTTAGCGGCATATGCAGCGACCGCCATGTCGTATAACGCACGATACTGCGGCACTGGCATGTGTTCAAAATAAAGAAAACTACATTTAAGGCTAGTTTCCATTCAGAAAAATTCTCCTTTGGATCGGACAAGACAGGAAAGTTTCCTTTGTATGAATGCCGCTTGAGAACTCACCGACAAAGGAAATTTTCCTGTCCGTTTCGATCCAAAGGAGATTTTTCCTGAGTAGAAACTAGCCTTTACTCGGTATTACTTTTCACAATCGGGAAATTCCGTTATCGACTGAGAAGGACTACGTTACACTCACTGCCTTATTACTCATAAGTGCGCATATGAACAAAAGTCAGCGTAATGTTAGTGTGACATTTATATGAGTGGCACCGTGACTTTTGTATTGCTGAACTCATATTACTATAGACCAATCCTGTAGTTTCCCAAACAGTAGTGTTACCATTTAACAATTAGACAACGAGTCCGAGTTGTCCATGAGCGAATAGTCAACGAAGGCGAAGCCTGTGCCTAGATATATTAATTTCGAGAAAATAATCGATACACCGCAATTACACTGAAAAATAATTTAATTGATTTAATTTTATACGGTCGTGCGAGTGAATTTTCCCAAACGTTCACCATCACGAAGACAATGGTTGAGTAGCCAATCAGAATGTAGGAATGGAGGCACATAAATTATGATGATTATCTCTTCATTAACGTTTCCATGCTTTGTGTTTGGTAACCCCCGCCAGGAGTACACCAGTGGGATACACATATCTATGAATGGTATAAGTACAGGGATACAGAACGTACCTCGCGTACAACGATCTGCTCTACTGCCAAGCTTGCATAGAACAGTGTTAAAAAGAAAATCAGAAATCCCCCCATCTCGTTTCGCCATTAGTCGCTGTAACTCTCCCAGTTCCATATCCATGACCAATATTTCGGTATTCGCCAAAGCTGTAATATGATGTTTCGAGCGACCGAGCACAAATTCCACGTCACCAATTATTTCGCAAGCCCCTAAAGTGGCCACTGTCACATTTTTTTGCTTCAAAATTTCCTCAGCAGCTACATAGCCTCGCTTCATTATTTCCCGTCGTTTTTGGATTATCGTAAGTGGTTTCTGGTCACCACCAAGTTCGTACTGCTGGTTCAACATTTTTGGATTCATTTTTAGCAAAGCCTCCCCCCGGCAGATAATGGTAATACTCTTCACAAGGTCCCCTTGGCGCACAATTGCACTCCCATAATGCAATCGTCTCGCTCGCATTTTCTCCAGAAGCGTGACGCGGTAGTCGTAGGGAAAACCTGTCGAGTAAAATGTGTAGTAAAAAGGCGGTGCCCCCACATCACCACATGTTTTCTAACTCACAATAGTCTTTGTATATTCGTGATTAGTTGACAAGCTCTCATGAAAGCCGTTAACTAGCCAGCCTTTAAAGTAGGATTTTCCTAACATTTTTGTTAAAAAATAGGATTAAGACCCTCATTCAGAAGAAAATGATCGCACTGAAAACCGCAGCACGAGCTCCATATAAGCTTCAATTAGTGTTCTATAAGTACCTTTAAATAACGGTGAAGTCTGCATGAATCGAAGTTGGTCTCTCATATCCAAATATCTATCCGCCAGTAACCCCTGGTATACCTTACAATCCACTATCAGCAGGTGTAAATTTTCGTCAGCAATTACGGTTGCATTTCGTTCCTTGTTTGCCTTGTAGAAACACAGATCGCCAAATTTGTCGCCGCTTTTTAGCACGGCAACTTCGGCGCCGAATTTTGAGCGCTCTTTGTGATTTTTGACGATGGTTGTTCGCATGCCTGACTCGTCATGCACCAGGTTGTCCAAATCTTCTGTTCGTTTTGCATAAACTGACACAGTTCCCTTTAGTATAATGTAACAGCTAGGAATAGATTAATTCGTCATGCGTTGCAAGTAGTACCGACAACCAATATGTGTGGGGGAATTTTAAATTTTGATTAGTATTGAATACCACAAGTCTCACGTCAAGATTTTACCTATATAACCTTATAAAACCATTAATAGACTGACTTTTTTCTCATAATGACATCAAACGCCAGATGCAAACATCACACTCATACACAAAGTCTGTTTGGCACCAAAAAACTAACGTGCAATCAATTAAACTTTGTGTAACGTCAGGCTTTCTACGTTTGACGTCATTATGCGAAAGGTCTATTATTAAGTTCAACTATCCATCAAGCTTATTATATGTAATTTAGCTTGTAGGTATACCCCACGTAAGTATATTTAATACTGCAGTATTAAATACTTAGGTGGTGAACCTATACAAGCTAAATCACTTATCGACTGCTAGTTGTCACCATGCAAACATGCAAGAACATAACCTTCATTATAGTTAGATTTTTAGGTTCGCATTGGTTCCATTCTGTACAATGCACTTAATAATTCATGTATAAGCTAATAAAATTAAATCAATAGTTAGACAAGTATCGGCCCACGATCATCACGTTTAAATGCTGTCTTACCAGTCGCCAACATCGCCCTGCCGCACGATAACATGGTCCCTCTTAATTGGCGCATAGTCAGATTTCGTTATGATTTGCTTGACCGCCTCTACGAAAATCAATAACCAATGATCATAATGATCATAACGCCATCATGAAGATATTCAGTATTCCATGCAGTGTTCCATCAGCGCTAATTAAATGCATAAACCGCGGCTAGATCAGACTAAGAAGACCATTAAAACATGTATAACAGGTGGAATTCCTTCAAAATGACCACATTGAGTGTATTGATTTTATTTATCTTGGCTGCTTATTCAGAACAAGTAACAAATCATCATAATTATTGCTACTCTTATTTAATTATAATTAATCACCACACAAAGATTACATTGGGTCGTAAATGTATAATCAAAAGTAGCGATAATTGCGATGGATTATATACCTGGTTAACTTCATTAATTTCAATTCGTTGAACAAATCATGTTATAATCTTTCCAACTTTTGTGGGGTTTTTAAACGAGCCCTTTCAAACTGTTGAATGTATTGATAATAGGAAAGCCATGGCAAATGATTAATCAATTTAATCGGGAGTTACGTCGCGATTTTACTGTTAAGCTGGTTTTCTACTAGCCATATTTTTCACGCGAAGCGACTTTATTCTTTTGTACTTGGGCAATTTGTTCTAGATGGTTGCAGTTGAGACCTCTGAAACAAAAATAATATGTCGCCTCGCGCGAAAAATATCGCTAGTGGAAAACCGTTCACGTTTTTGGGTTATGTTTTGACTAAGACTAAGTCAAAAGACCAGGAACCTCATTACATTATTTCATGTGTGAAATTTCTTTTCATTTTTATTGATCAAAAGTTAAAAAGTTAAAATCAAAAAACCGTTATTTTTTGTGAAGAAAATTTTTTGACATCTTTGCACATAGGTCTAGAGAGTAAAACATGAAATCCATTTCCTTTCGCTTATTAGGTGGTTTTAGGTGGAAAAAAAGAAAAATTTAGTTTTGAATTTGTTTCGTAAATTTTCGACAATCTAAAATAATTGCTAGTGATAAATAATCAAAATTGGTAATGTACAGTATACTAAATAATATAGGAATATTTGCAGATACGAAATAATGAATTTAAAAAAGCGATCCTGAATTCAGTTATTCGTGAAATAGACGCCGATGTTTAAATACTCGCCTTCTTTAACTTGTTTAAAACACTTCACATGTTCGTAAAACCAGGGCAGAATTCTTTCAAGCTCTTCATCGGATTTTTCCAACTGGCACAGCAAATTCTCGACATCTTCCCAAGTAGTCCTTTTCGAATAACTAGTTTTCATTTTGAACTTATATGATTTTCATCAGATTGGAGTAAGAACAATTATTGCAAAGTGGGGGCATAGTGATTAACGAGCGTTTGATCTAATTTGAATTAATTATGCGACGTAACAATGGGGAGTTTAATCTAATTGACACGTAAAAGCCCCTAGGGGCTTACGGGACTCGTTCCATCATTATACAGGGTGTCTCAAAAAAACGCAACCACTTAAATATGCAAGAACATTAATACAGCTCTAAAGTGCACCTCTGGGAATTGAAAATGGCTCTTAATCCTTCATTTACAATGCTAAAAGTCATTTTAGCTGAACTATGGTGCATACCATAGATATCTCAAATATGTATCTATGGTGCATACCCGAACAATATTAATATTCTTGCATATTTAAGTGGTTGCGTTTTTTTTTAGACACCCTGTATGACTGTACGTGAATGTACCAAAGAGCACTGATGGTCTGAAAGCTGAAGCAAATAACCAGGCTTAGTAGCATTTTCGATCACAAAATTCGGTCAAAACCGGTCAAATTGACCGATTTGTTAGTTTTTTTCTCTTTCTTAGAATATTCACATTCGCCAGTACTGGCAATATGAAAAACTCTAGACATACTCGCAGAAAATCTCGATCCGTGAAAAAAGAAAGTTAAGATGAAGTCTCCTTTAAAAGGTCAAGTTGCGCCGTTTTTAATTATGCGAATTTGAAAAAAAAAATAAAGTGTAATGAATTTATATTGTAATTAGACAGTGGTATATATTAAAGAACTGAACACAAAATTTTATAATGAGACTCATTCCGTTAGCTAAGAGAAAAGCTTTATTCTAAATAAAGCAAAAGGGAAGTTTGAGAGAATTTAAGCTTCTCAAGACAAGAAGAAGCTCCGGCTCACAAAAAGCGTAACAATACGCTATAGTTGTATTAGATAAAGTACCTCTAGAAATTTGTAATTTCCGCTGGTCCGAGAAATGTAAGGATTGCTTTTTCATCTCGACTCGAATCATCCAAATCAAGTAATCAACATGAAATGAAAAGTATCGTTTGACCTGCACGTTTTTCCTTCTTCTTGGTTTAAAAATGCTTTCTCAAGCGCAATTACTGGACGAATTGATGGGCAGAGACCGAAATCTGGCCCCTCAAGAAAAGAAGTGCAGTCTTCATTGGTCCGATCCAAGTGTAAGTAAGAATTTCGTTAAGATTTACCCCGGTTATTGTGGTATATATTTAATAGCCTTGGAATATATATGGTGCTAGTTTTGTATATACTGTTTTCGACAATTTTTGTAGGTTTGTAAAATGTACCTGGCTGGTTTTTGTCCACATGATTTGTTTACTAATACGAGATCTGATTTGGGTAAGTTTTTATCTTCTATTTATAAATAACGAGTTATATGCTTTCTAGCAGAGTCAAAGACTGATTGGACGTCAATCTAAGCTATGATCTAAGGGATAGGGATTTGGGATGAAGATGAATCATGAATGTAGATTTTCTTGTCTATCAACAAGTGAAAAATTGTAGTCTAGTGGTTCTGGAGAACAAAATGCTGCCAAAAGTTTAGAAACAACATCACATTTTTTCAGTTTCTAAAAGAATTAGGTATCTATTTTACGAAAAAAGACAAGTTGTCGTTGAAATATTTAGACAGGTTCCATAACTGGTGAAATTTAATATTGAATGAAAATTTCTGTGAAATTGTTACTGTGGAATTACCATGTGAAAATAACAGAACACTTAATGATTCACACTCATAAAATAGTGAGTTTTGTTTCTCCTTAAGTCCCATTCTTTCTTTTGATGCCAACCTTACAACAACTAGTTTATACATTTAACAAACACAATCACCTCGCAGTGATAGACAAATAGGATTTCATGAAATAATATATCTCATAATTTCTTGAACTACAAAGGTATACAACTTCAGAATGACTTTTGTTAGCTATTGTATAGCTAAAAAAGGACCCAAATTTTGTGGTCTTCTATCAATATGGCCTGAAATAAAGTGTGTGTGGGTATCTGAAGGCTTTACCAGATAAAAAACTATGTTTTAAGGAGGAATTCTTTTGAAACTGTTGAAGCATTTTACTTTCAGGGAAGATGACACATTTTTCTAAGCTATTAAAAAAAAATGTTAAAGTTATATGAGTTTTATCAGTTCCAATTCATCCAATCAAATTTGTCATTATGACTTTTTTAAGGTTTGACATTATCACCGTAAGGTGATATGTTTATCACTGTAAGGTGAATGTTTATCACTGTAAGGTGATATGTTAACCGAATCCTTGTTTGGGTTAGCAAGATTTATCTCTTTCAGTTTGCAGCCTGTCACTAAATATGTAACTAATTGGTACAAACATGTCGTACAAATGTATACAAATTTTGCATGGATATTTTTTTCTGTACTTTGAAAACAAAATTTTGTTCATTTGACTAAATTTAGCATGCTCTCTCTAGAAAATTTTTTTTTATCATATACTCTTATCTATCATATAGAGTATACTCTTTACAGTATCCCTTCAATGTACCAATGAAGAAAAACTGTATCCTTGTTATTTATTGTTTTATATTTTTAGGTTTTTGTGAAAAACTGCATGATGACAAATTACGTGAAGAGTAAGTAATCTTACAAAATATTAATTGTGTATCAAAGTAATTCAGATCCAAATTTGGCTTCTAATAGTTATAACACAGAACTTTTTAAACAAATTCAGTTAGGTTTTACACCATTGTTATTGTCAAATATCCTGTTTTATTTGTCTTTAGTTGGTAAATGAGGAAGTATTGGTTTGCAAAATAGTTAATAAAAATAATTTCTGCCAATGGAGCCTTTTCTTTAACTGTTGCTTTGGAATGTTAATCATCACTGAAAATGAAAGCTAAAATTTAACGAATCTGTACTACTTTTATCCAAAACAATATTGTCAGTAAGAGGTTTGCTTCGTTTTTGGGGTGATACTAAAAAAGATCTGTTGCATTACCTGACCTACTAAAAAATCAGAACTTACTATTTTTATATCTTTTGGAAAGAAAATTATTTACTTCCAACAATGGTCTCATTCCTGTAGTATTCTGTGGTCCTCTGAGAAAAACGTAATCAGCTCAGAAAGAGATTTCTGGAAACATTTAATGTATTATCTTGTACTGTACGACGTGAAAACGTTTAAACAGAATGCTAGAATCCTAAATCGTAACAAGTGGGACTTGGTAGATTTGTTGCGGAAACTGCGGTTTTTGCATTTATTGCTACCACGCGATTCTTAAAAATATTAACAATGATGGATGTCTTTTATTACCTGTAGTACAAATTGTATTGTTTACGTTTTTGGTAGTGTATATTTTCAAACTTTCGTTCGAATTATTTTATTATACTCATTGTCTTTACGATCTGAAATAGAATTAAAGTATTTGTATTTACTATTCATTTCATTCATTTTAGATACAAAACTTCCAAAAGATTTGGTACCATGGGATATGAGGATGATTTCTTGCGTTATTTACAATCGCTTTTATCCGATGTTGATCGTAGAATAAGACGAGGTCATTCCAGACTTACAACCACGCAGGAACTTATGAAAGTATGCTTTATAAATATCAGAGACTTTTAATAAAATGTACAGCATTAACTTGTACAATGAAAAAACATTAGAGCTGCTCCCGATAAATCATTCATTTTTTTTACAAATGATTTTACCTCAGAGTTATCGGATAATATACAACGCCATGCACAGTGCAGTATTGTTGCGGGAATGCAATTTCAGTCCGGATTAGAAATATTCTAAAAGATGTTTAGTCTAAGCTTGTAAGCTCTTTCTAAAAATACATTGGTAAAAAGACTTAATGATTTTTAAAAATCTTTGTAAAATGTAAACACCAAAATATAAAAGTAGGACCATTATGTTGAACTATTTTTTCTGCCATTTCATACATTTCTACAGTTTAGTTTAAGCGCAGGAGAGTGCGCGTAGAATCTACAGATGTGACAACGTTCATTTTCCACTCAGATTCAAAATGTTTGCACTGACTGGTATAACCCGCAAATATTTAGTAAAAACGTTAATTACAAACCACTATTGTTACATATAGGTCAGTGACGTCCTATTTCGTTGAATTATATAATAACACAATTAGATCGATTTATGCCACGAATTTGTTTTACACAACGATTAATCGATTTCGCTTTTAAATTGAATGGGGCAGCCCTAAAAAGACTTGTATATGGAGGTGGGCAAAAATTGGAAATCTCTTTTGTTGAAACTCACATTGCATCCATCAAAACGTTCAGGAAAAGCAATTAGGAAAGTTGAACACAGACACCGAAAGAGAAAAGGAGGCCCAACTTACAGAAAAAGTTAATTCTCTCGTGGAACAGGTAACGTATGCATGCGATTACTTTTAGATAGACTTTATTTAATTTTTGGAAGCCAAAATCAGCGTTAGTCAGTTATCAAGCTCTTTTTGAAACATCTTCATTTATCATTCAGGCGGAAAAACTTGGTTGTGAGGGAAAAGTTGAAGAAGCACAGGGGGTGATGAAATTAGTGGATCAGTTGAAAGAAGAACGTGATCAGCTTACATCTAAGGTAAAGGTTTTGGGAATGTATTTTAGGAACTAAGTGTATTTTTTAGTATTATTTGAAATCAGTAATAACAGATTTTGATTGTTTGATATGCAATGCCATACCCGTGCACACAGCTAAAATGAAGCAGAACTGGACAATGTTGTATACTGCACCCTGGAGCATATAACAACGAAATAATTTATGTGTTTATGCGCTTAGCTGAGCCTGCACGTGGGTTCTTTTTTGCTGTACCAAGTGAACTGTAATAAATAACTGGAACGATACCTCCTCATTGATTTTGTGAAGCCAAAATTCGCGGGACTTTACTTCCAGACACTAGCAAAGAACGACCGTCTTTCTCCGCATTTCCAAAAATAGGTCCATTGAATGCATTCTACTGACATCACGAATGTCTCAGCCGGCTGCGAGTACCAATAAAATAAGATCTTTATCTCCCTAAACATTTTTTTGTGAGTTTTTATCAGATTTTACGAAATAACAACAAAATCGTTTTGTTTTTGCCTTGTTTGTTTTTGCGTGTAAAGACTGGGGGTGACTTAGTTTCAACTTCCCGTCAGAAGGTAGTGTTCCAGTTATTATTACAGTTCACTGGTTGTGCCAGAGTTCTCCTAATTGGTATTGGTGTACATGCATGGTGCATGTAAATATTAGTCACCTTCATTTCAGACCTTATTTGACCTCCGGAAGGAGTGAACCTACTTTCTGTACGATGCCGGTAAACTGCTCTGGCTACATTCAGTATTCACCCTCCGCGAGCAAGATTCATTTGTGACGCGCACCATCACAAAGATTTCCCATCAGTTTAACGTTGTAGTCTCGAATGATAACAAGTTTTAATGAATGTATCGGTGCATTTGTAAATATTACTGTTACCATTGCTTTTCGAAGTCTTTATATATACTTTGGGGCTAATACTGTTATTGGCGCAAATATCGCTAGTATCAACATTTTAACAATGTATATTTTAAATTACAGGTGAAAGATCCAAGCTTCAATGGTCAAGAAAAATTGATGGAAGTGTGTGAAGTTTGTGGTGCATTTCTTATCATCGGCGATGCTCAGATCCGTGTTGACGATCATCTGCAAGGAAAGCAACATAAGGGCTATGCACAGATAAAAGCCGCTGTTGAAGAACTTAAGGTAGCTTGTGTTTCTAATAGCGATTGTGTAAAGTGCTATTGTAGGATTGACTTTATACTGTTTCTTTATCGGTGAAATGTCTGTTTAGAACCGTCCGTGGCTAAACAGAGCTAAATCTAAAGATTCAGCTGAGGGGGACAGGGAAAAGAATTCTGATCGAAAAGATGCGCGCTCCGACGATAAACGTTCAGATAGGGACCGCGAACGACGCCGGGAGCGTGACGGCGATCGCCGAGATCGCGATGGAAAGGATCGTGACGGTGATCGCCGGGTGACGGGTGACCGTGAACGAAGAGATCGTGACCGTGATAATGATCGTGATCGGAGAGATCGTGACCGCGATAGACGGGACAGGGATCGTGACCGACATCGAGACAGGGACCGCGATAGAGATCGCCGTCGTGATCGGAGCCGAAGTCGGGACCGTGACCGTGACCGGAAGCGAAGTAGTCGTGATGATGCCCGAAGTCGTAGCCGGGAGAAAGACGACAGTCGCCGACGAGGTGACGATAGTCGCCGAGACAGTGGGGAAAGTCGCCGGCGTGATGACGACAGCCGCCGAGAGTGTGACGAAAGTCGCCGAAGAGATGATTTTAAGGAAGAGAAGACTGAAGGTAATGAAATACAGGGTCAAGAAATAAGTTCTTCGAAAGATGAAAAAGTGGATAAAGGTGCATTAAAGATGGTGGAGGATAAGATCCCGCAAGGTAGTCAAGATGACACCGGGTAAGTTGGTTGTTGTGTTTAAACTTGTAGCCAACAGAATTGAACAAGTCTGCTGGGGTCCGGTCTGCTCTTGGCAAATAAATCACTCATTAAAAAGAAGGTGCTGCAGGTATTACTTTTTCCATTTCTTTACTCATTGGATCATGCTCTCGAGGCCTTGGTCAGGAAAAATTGTAGAAAAATAAATTCCTCTTTTATTACTGGGGTTGACTAGTGATAATTCTATAGATACTATACGTATATGTATTATGTAAGCCAAGACAGTATAACTTCCAGTCTTCGAAATTAATTGCTGTATTCAAATTTGGAAGAGAAGGTGCTGAGTTTCACATGGAGAAACATCGAGTTGTTCAGCCGTTTGTTCTCCGAGAGGTACAAAATTTCCAAAACTTTTTTTTGGGTTTAATGTTTTAGGCTATATTTAGGTGTTTACATGTAGTGCTATTTTTTCGACCTACGACATATGTTCTTTTAATTCATGACAAGGTTGCGGAAAACACTTAGAACAGAACACCTTCTGATTCCGTGTCAAAAATTGGTTACAAGTATAAATGCAATCGGGATTACAAAATGTCCTGAATTTTTCTGCTATAATTTAGTTATACCATGATTTTTGAAATGTTGATTGTGATGACATACTTAATGGTTATGACTAGCTTTATAATGGTAATCATGCAATGTTTAATTTCATACCAAACAGCATAATAAACCAGCAGTATTTTTCAAGTCAATGGAATACTCAGGTATCATAACTTTATAATATCACCTGATTGTTTACTACAGGAAACGGGAGGTTTTTTCTGTTGCATATGAAACATTATATGTAGTTAAGCTGATGCTATTAAAACTCCGGGGAATTATTTTACTCTGCTTATAGCTTTTCATCCCTTCCTTCAAGAGGAAGCATGCAGTTTCTCGTAGCTTCGTCTCTCTTACCTTGCAGTATTTTGTCCAACCACAATCTCCGTCAGGTTTGGTTGTTCAAAGTTGATAAGCAAACGGATAAGCAAAGTTCTAAGCTAAAATTTATCATAAATTGACCCAAATTTCCTATATAGAGCCTTCATTTTTTCGCATCTCTTTGTGATCTAACTGTTCTAACCTGTTGATTTATTTAAATCGCCATTTTAGTTTTCTTTAGTAATCAAATTGAAAAGAATGTCGGATATGAAAATATTCCTTAGCAAATGCTTGTAAACATTTGGAACAACCTAACTGAACTTGTAAAGAAACTAGGAACACTTGAACAAAGAAATGAATAAAATCTGCTACCAGGATTTACATGTAAAAACTAACTTAACCTCAATATTTGTGTTTCATTTAGTGTACCAGAAGGGCCCAGCGACGACATGTAGAGATGACGCTTTGTGGTTCGATGATGTCTTTTTCTTGAAAACGTGGTTAGCTATATAATCCTCACAAAGTTTAAAGAACCTTAGAATGTTCGTGATTACTCTGTAGTCCCTAGGTTACCTTGATTTGCTGTAATCTGTCATTTAGATTTGGGAACCGGTTCGTTAAGTGATTTTAGAAAGGGACAAGCTTACCTCTCATTCAAACACCAAATGCATTTTAGTGTTTACATATTAATCATGTTTGCGAAAGTAATATCACGTTTATGGGTTCATTTTTTATTGTTTTCATATCTTCCACATCCGCGTAAAACAGCAATACAATCTTATTTGATTTTGACGTCACCGGAGGTTGAATTTGGAAAGAAACTCACAAAACGTGATATTACAAAGTATAATAACCGCCTATTTGATCCACGAGAGGCAGTATTATTAATAGTATAGATTGTTAGCATATGTACATTGTTCGATGGTCTTGTGATTTCTATTAAATAAGAATTGTTCCTTAGTGGTGTTTAGTAAATATCATATAATGCTTGGCGACCATTTTATAATAATGTATCTTCAAACACGCTTGAAATATTCTAGAACTTTCACCTTTAACTTGCGCGATGCGTAACATGTAATGATGGTAAACTGGAAGTGACTTTGATTATTGTCACAGTTGATGCAGTTGGTCTTATGGAAGATTGAGCTGAACATAGGTTTTATAATTCGTACACGAAATCATTCGATGGCGAGTACATCTCGGGATTCATAGTACGATCACGAGTAAAATTTGTTTGTATCCACAAATGATTTTAATTACCAGTATTTACACTTTACAAATATGGATAGCAATATCTGAATTTGCAACTTATATAAGCACCTTCGACTGAAGTCCCACTTCTATAGCAAATTTAAATTTTTTGTATTTAGCATTTTAATGGTTGTTGCGTTAAGTCCGTTTTCCACCAGGCGAACCTTTCGCCGCGAAAAAATAGAAGAATCGCTTTCTATACTTTTTATCTGTTCGTGCGAATATTAAAATTCGCCCAGTGGAAAACAGGATTTAATCATTTCTGAACAGAACATTCTGAACAGTCAACACTATTTTTAAACGAGACGCTATTGTTTAGTATTGATTTAGATATATATATTCGATTTGTAAAAACTTATAAATGATCATTTGGTTATCGACTTATTGATACTATATATCTTTTCGATGGAACTGGGGACCCTGGGTACGAGGTTGGGGCGTGCAGGCAATCTCGTTTCCCGAGCCCGCGATTCCTCTGACGAGAAAACAAAAGCTCCGGGATAATCCAAACCGGAAGTTCCGGTTTGTAACGGTATTTTGTATTTCAAAATTGAAACGGCGTGAACGACCAATCAGATTTCGATCATCCCAGAGCCTTGGTTTTCGTGGCAGAGGAATCGCGGGTTCGGGCAACGAGATTGCTTACTAGGTAGTTTTTGTCCCTGGGTACGAGCTTCCCTAACATTGGTTAGCATATAAATTTCTATAAAGACAGTGGTTTATATTATAAAAAAGGGGTTTTCTTGAAAAAAGACCCTATATATCTGTGTTGAGGAAAATAAAGCAAAGTAACGAATTTTGGAGGATGCGGGCATCGATCCCGCTACCTCGCGCATGCAAAGCGCGCGCTCTACCATTTGAGCTAATCCCCCCGACTGCTGCAATTATGTGATATTTAATTAAAATAATTCTGAAGATGAAATATTACATTAAGAGTACTTTACTGCAAATTCTAAAAGTCTTCTAAAATCACAAGGAAAAATGTGGCCGCGGTGCTACAATCTCAATGACTACTCGCCCCATATCTAATTATAATTTAAGCAACTGCCTATAAAAACGTAGAAAAAATAAACCAACAACACGAACAATCAACATCTGAACTTTCTCTGACATTACTCTCACCATCCTTCTGGTAATTACCCTGATCAAGGACACAGTGGTCTAGTTCTTTGTTATCAAAAGTTGATATGCACTCTTTCACTTTTTGACCACCTTCGCCCATTATAGAATAGTTTAAATCATCTAAAACAACCACCATCAGGGGCGGCGAACATAATATATTTTGGGGGGGCTAATTTCACGAGGCGCCACCATGGTTGGCGCCGAGCGAAATTTTTTTTGAATTTCAATGCTCTAGATCTTCGGAAATGACCATTTCAGAATGTTACTTGCCACTTTCATCGTAATTTTTTATGGGCAAACACAAACTGAAAACGGCACAGCGCGTGTAGGTATATCTCCTACATTTGAAAAATCATCTCTCAAATTCTGAAAATAATTTCCAAACGAAATGGCGGTCCGAAAATAATAACAATATACAACCACGAATATTCTGCTGTTAAAGACAACTATGAAAGATCAAAGAAAGTCAATTTACATTCACTTGATCCGTATCACAATATAGGATATCTTATTAGCATTTAATACGCCGGCGAGCATTAATTTGTCGACTTCGTGGTAACTTAGTTTGTATATTTGCTCTCCCATTCTGGCTTTCTTCATGAAATTTTTTGGGGGGGCTAAGCCCCCCCACTTTTACTTCTGGGGGGGCTTAAGCCCCCCTAGCCCCCCCTGTTCCGCCGCCCCTGACCACCATACAATTTAACTTGCACATGAAAGAATATTGCTTATAGCAATATTATTAGGAGATGTTTGAATGGATTCTAACATTTCAATTATCCACCGAACAGCGAAAGATTCTTGAACTTTTGCCAAGACACTATAGTTAAGAAGATTGGTCTTAATTCCTCAACATGCGTGCATGGTACAGATTCAGGCATTCCAGATTCCTTTTTCCAGGTCTTAGGGAAGATTTTTGATTGAAAAGATTCGTTAAAGATTTCGGTCAAATGTATAGCAAAGTACCTTGCAAAAATTTTCAAAATCTTCATAATAAAATCGTAAGGACCAGGTACTTTATTAGTGTTAACTTTACGCACTCGTTGCACTTGGTCGACAGGGATTAGAGGTGGATTTTCTGTACATTGAAGTTCCAACCAATCTTCATTCACTCCGGATACCTCTTAGAAAAATAAACATTTATATATCGATCAGGCTGCTTATCATCATCCATCTGAAAACATTCTCTTATTCCAAACAATATTTCAATAATGTAATGCAACCTGCCACACTTCCAAGATATAGTCAAACAATGGTTTCAGGAAGAGGGAGTGACAGAAATGGATTGGTCTGTGGGACAATGTCAAGGGGATAGTACAAGAAAGGAATTCATTCATAAAGCGTCCATGATTTATGCGTTGCTGTAAAGACTGTCCATAGGATGAATTTCTTTTGACCGTGAAGATTACCACCCAACAGAAAGTATGCCACGCCGGTGTAAGGCCGTCAACAATTATAAGGCCAAAGGAGGGTCAACAAAAATATTAATATTTCATATAGCTTAGCATGTAATCTAGTCTATATTTACTCGTATATATTGTTAGAGGGACAGTTACGTTCATTTGAGAGCATTTTAACTTGTTTTGAGCAGTTCTTTTTGACCGCCAGTGTATAATAAACCGAATATTACATGATTGCTCGGAAATTAAGTGTTCCGAGTGATGTGATGGCTATAGAATTGAGTGGGAGATTCAATGTGTAAATTAAGAGTGTCTAAAAAGTGCATTTAGACATGAAAATACATGAAATCATTACTGTGTATTATGCGAACAATTATGAAACGCTTGGTTGAACGCATATGTAATAGACTGAACACTATTCCAGAACAATATCCATTACACACATTTCTCGCAGTGTTCTGAATGGTGGTGTGCACGTGTCGTCATCGTCGTCATGTCATAAAGAAATTGCATCAGTGGAAGGCATCACGCAAGGTGATCCGTTAGCCATGCCGTTATACGCCGTCGCCATTACCCCTCTCCTGCTCATGATTAAATCTGATGAAGCTAGTGATGTAAGGCATGTTGTGTACGCGGATGACCTTAGTGGTGCAGGTAAGCTGATGCAACTGCGTGCCTGGTGGGAGAAGATTGCCGTGCATGGTCCGAGTCATGGTTACCGACCCGCGAGCTAATAAGTCCTGGTTGATTGTGAAGCCACACCTGGAGCAGACTGCCATTGAGATCTTTGCTGGAACTAATGTACGAATTTCAAGTGAAGGGGCAGAAGGGCATGAGTACCTTGGAGGATATCTTGGATCGGATGACGGAAAAGATAAGTATATCAGTTCTTTAGTTAGAAAATGGTGCCAGCAACTTCACGTTTCGAGTGAAATGCCAAATTCTAACCCCAAGCAGCATACACGGCGTTTGTCTCTGGTTTTCGGCACAGATTTACTTACCACATTCGTGCCATTCCAGGTATCAAGACCGCGATGCAGCTTGTTGACGACACCATCAACCTGAAACTCCTTCCTGCACCCCTCGATTACTGTAGCTTGTCCATCCATGAGCGACAGTTGGTTTCGCTTCCAGCTCGTATGGGAGGTCATCTTTGATGAAGAGCATTTGAACTCCACATCCATCCATCTGTCATGTTCTCTAGAGTAGAGAGAAACACCATCAGCAGAACATGGGGATTCCATCCACGATCTTCGCCATGAGATCGCAAAACAACGTCAAGCTAGGAGCTCGTTGCTGCTACAGAACTTGAGATCAAGCATAAGTGAAGAGCAGATTCGAGCAAATGACCTCGCCCGATTGAAAGGATCCTCAGCTTGGCTAACAGCTCTGCCACTTGCTGATGAGGGCTACATCCTGACCAAGCGTGAGTTCCTTGACGCAATCTACATGCGTTATCGATGGCCTTTGAAACGCCTTCCATCATTCTGCGCCTGTGGAAAATCTCTGACGGTGGATCTACTTGCCCTGTCGTTCCTGAAAGGAGGTTTTATCCATCGAAGACATAATGAGATCCGTGATCTACAATCACATGGCAGGCATATTGACTTCCGGGAATTAATAAATATAATTGTTATATATAAGTGTTAATTAAAATTCTAGAAACCCGAAATCTCATTTTTGCCAATCAGGTTAGATCTTGCGAGAGGTGTTACACATTTGCTGAATTTGCAATTGCAACCAATATTGCAAACTCGTACCCAGTGCTCGTACCCCGTACCCAGGGTCTTGACTCTTGGGGAGAAAAGACCCTCGGTACGAGGTTGCTGAATTAGTTGCTGGTAAACTGATAAAGTAAAACTGTTCTAAAATATTCTTTAAAAATATCAATTTGGGAGTCAACTAGAATCTTCTGATTAAAAGAATGACAATGAAGCTCTCCAGGTACAAAAATATTCATTAAAGTTTAAATTTTGATTGGTAGCGGTTGTTCACTTGTTCTGTTTATAGAATGACTGTTCATTGAATCAAATGAACGACGTACTAGAAATACATGCATGCAGCAACCCCTCGCCATTTCAAACGAAGCAAAATATTTCCTGAGCTTGCCAGCTAGACCTAACCTTCAATATTATGAAATGTCCTAAATGTAAAGCCGATAGCTGATGTTTCAAATATTTCGGAAACAAACACAGTCGTAAAGGTGAAGTGAAATCACCCGTTTTCCTGCTGCTTTCCGTTGCATTAAGTTATAGACTTTCACAGTTTAAGTGAGAGTTAATACTTCATTATAGCTAAACCTTCAAAACAGCCAAAATAATATAAATAACCAAGCAGTGAACGTCGAATGTTGTTTTTCGATTATTAAATTCATGCAGTGATTGCAGTCGACTATATATAAACCTTTAAAGTGATATTTGTTATATTAAAACTCCGAATTACACTTTTAAGGACTCTCTTGGAGGTTAAAACGATGATGTAAAGCCTTAAATAGTCGGTCACCTCTTCGCAAAACTGAGCAAAACGACATACTGTACCAAGGTCATAAAATGTATTCGTACAGCAAACACGAAATAAACCTCGAAATAAACAAAATAGACTCCTACCATTTCAAGGATTATAATCGAGTTGTTCCTTTTCACCGCTAATTCCTCCAGTTCTGATAATATTTTAAACTCTTCCAGGGTTTAATTTGTTATTTGATTCCACATTTCATATTTTGTTTTCGAAACATTTTTTTTAAAAAATAGTTTGGCAGTTTGCAAAATGACAGTTAAATTGCTGA